TCTGCTCCCAAGTACACTTTATATCGCTCACCGGATGGTCAATGCAGTCAGCCAGGAGAGCCACCATAAAATTTAAGCCACCAAGGTCCACAATTTCTTGACAGAATTCATTCCTGACAGAGAGGCGAGAAAGGGTGGCACACAGTTCACTGAGAACACTGGCGTTATCTGTGAATGCTGCAGAGGAGAGATGATGGAGTAATTATGAGCAAGGAGGGGTGCTGTGGAATCAAGGTGTTTTACTTTGCTTCATTTAAAAAAAAGAAACAGGGAACAATGAATTTCACTTTGTATATTAAAACACATAAGCACAGAGGACATCCTCTTGTTCGCTCTGTATCTAGACTGAGACAGAATGATATTTTCTTGGCAAGAATGTAGCACCTCAGCAGGGATAATGTGCCTGTAAACCTGCACTGGGCTGTAAAATACTTCCTAGATAGACTGACAAATAGCTCTGATAACTGCCACCTTGGTGCTGCTGATGGCCTCTGGAGCAGTCATATTATTTTTCTCTCTCAGGGCACATTTCACCACAAGAATTAAACATCATTTCACTGGCAAATTTTTGAATCGTCTCTGGGGAGCTTCAATTTACAACAAAGCACGGTTTTGAGATAAGAAAGCACAGATAATTCAAAATTAGGATAACAGTCATGGGGTTAATTTTACCTTTAGCAGCTTCAATGAGGACTCTCAACCCATCATTTTCCAACACAATCATCTTAGCATGATCATGGGCATGACCAAAGGGCACGCGGATGTCATCATCAAACGTCATGATCCTGAGCGCTGAGGAGGCCGTTCGGACGACATCGGCGCTGTCTCCGTGCTGGACTATAGCTCCGGTCAGAAGTGGCAGAACCCCACCTTTCACGAAGTCCTGACGATTCTGCTCGTGTTTCAGACACGCATGCCGAATGCAGCGGATCCCAGCCAGCGTCACTTCCGCATCCTCCCTATACTCTTTCAGAGTCTGTAGCAGTAGATCCTGGCCAGCAGAGTCAAGTAGGTCTGGCTGCCCATCCAAGATGGCAGACAGAGTGTAAAAGGCTTTTAGCATCAGATTTCTGTCTCCTGAAGCCAACTGGCAGGCAGAGAATACCACAGAATAGGCACCATTCTGCCCAGCCAGGTAGCGGAAAGCCAGCTGTTCTTTGCACTGATCAGTGAAGACCACTAGCTGCTCGGCCATCTCAGCAAGATCGGAGTCAGCAACGGCTTTCCCAAGGGAATCTAAAGTCTAAAGAAGAGAACAAGAGTTAATTTTTGATCTGAACTGTGAAGGAACAAGAGCAGTTCTTTACAGTTAATCAAATTTGGTTATTTATAGTAATGGTCTTTTTAAATTTAAAATAGTGCGACATATCTAAGAAATGGCTGTCTCAAAGAACAGCATTTTGTCTTCATGCACAGGACCCTTGGGGGAATGGGGGCTTCTCTGTACTTCTGCCATCACTGTATGCCAGTCTGACCAGTAGTGGGTGAACTGGGTCCAACCAGCACATTGCACAGTCAACAGTGTGGATGAGTATTTTTGTACTCTTGGTGGTGAGAGACTGTATTCAATCTTTGCATCTACCCTCCAAAGGGCTAGGTAAGAGCTACCACTTCAGTCACTTGTATCTCTTTTACTTAAGTACTTCTGTGGTTTGAGTTTACCTGACAACAGCAGAATCTGCCTCCAGATTATGAAAGGCAGTCTCTGCATTTCCTAGGCAGGAAATGCTGGCATTTTGCACTTAGACAGACACTTCCACTGAAAAGTGCAAGGTAGCTCTTTGAACTTTTTTATTATTCCTACTTTGAAGAATAGATGGGATTAACTGCTTGTTGAAGAGCTCACAAAGAAATGGGACAGAGGCAGAAGCAGGTGGTGTGTCTCATTATTCTCAGTCTATTACTTAAACTATTACATAACCCTGATCCTTAGAAAACAACATAAATTTGTGCTCCTACCAGCAAAATTTCATGCTTTTGCTTTTGACCATTTTCAGAGGCAGGCTGCCGCACAGCTTTCACAATATTGCTTAGGTCAACACCTAAAAGGAAAAACAAAACCAAGATTAATATTAGTTACAGGAGCTTGGGTAAAATTTTTCAAGTTAACCACAGTGAACAAAGCATGGCTCAATGCGCAAAGATGCTGAAATGTTGCTAAAGTTCTGTCCAACTATAATGGCCAAATACATGCTGGAACAGAGCATCAATTCTAGCTAAATGTCAACTGGGGGGTTAAAAAAAAAAAAGCTTCATTTCTTTGGCCAAATTGTATCCTGCAGTTTCACTCAAAGCAGTTTTTCAGTCATAATTACTCCATGAAACTAGGTTAGCATTAATATCGTCTATGTTCCACTTCACAAAGGCTTCTTTTCAATACTGGATGATCAATCTTTGCACACAGGTTCTCTTAAAATTTAAGGTATGTAAAAACCTCAGCCTGTAAGAATCTGAACTGCAAAAGCAGATGAATTTACAATACCTTGGGACTCAAACTGCTGCACAGCTTCTCTCACAGCCTCTTCTGGATCCATTTCAAATTCCGTAATGTTTTCTTGTACGGCATCATCAAATGTTTCCTGCGCAATCTGTTTCGATCCCATTTTACCCAGAGGGATTAAACTGCCTCCTTGTCCTGTCATTAAGATAGTCCACAATTCGTTTGGGTGCAAAACCTTCTAATGTTAATCAGAAACAAAGGAAGTGACTTGCTCTTGTCCAGGACAAAAGCACAGAACTCAAGGCCAAAACTATATGGTCAAAGGGATGATTATTTCCTTTTTAACGGGCAGAAACATACCGATTGAAAGCAACAAGGAGGCCTTTCAGAGGCCGAGGATGTGGATGGGGGAAGCCGATGGGTGTGTTACCGTGACACGGCTC